CATAGGGTAACTGCTGCCTGTGAATAAAATGGAAAAGACCTCCGAGTTGCAGAGAGTGTTTTATTAGGTTAACCTGCAAGCACTCCTAGCGTTAAAACTTCGAAGTGGATTTTCAGACTTGGTGCTTATTGAAGCCTAATCAAAATAGTACTGTAGCTGGCTAATTTTTTTTTTTGTAAAAACATCTCTTAAAAAATAAGGCAGAACACTGGCTATACTTTTCATTTGCAGAATACATCTAGAAGTTTACTCAAAAGTTAATTTTCAGTCTGAGAGAAAGGATGTGGCCACCTATTTTAATGTGAACAATTAGTTTTGAGAGTTTCTGCCAAATATCTATATTAATATGTTCAATGTGCAATAAAGAACCACCTGTCCTTCAGTGGCTGTGAGGTGTGCAGATACTGGAGAGAACATGTGAACATACAATGCAATAAACAAAAGTGCTGTAAAAATTTGGGAACTTTGAGGATGTGGGGCTGCTGCAGCTCCTAATTTCAACAAAGCAGTTCTCGCAATACTAATTTATTTTACTCCAGAAGTTGCACTTCATATGCTTAAGGGAAGCACTAATTAGAAATTGGGGGGGTCCCCGGTCTTTGAAATGGCTGCTTCTGCAAAATAAAGCTAAGATGAATTCGTATGTGCTTCTCCTTTGGTTCTTAGGCTACTCCACCAGACCCCTGTCAGTAGTTGGTAATGCTCCCCCCTCAAAAGACTTTTCACCTGAAACTTTTCTAAGCAACTTGTGCCATTCAGATGGCAGGGTGGAGAGGGGGGCACAGACAAAATAAAACACTGCCTCTGTAGTTCACAGGTTGAAACAAGCCTGTGTCATTAGATTGTTAATCCAGGAGATTAATTAGCCTAGCTGTTTCTTGGAACCCTGTGAAGCAGCAGAGACAGAAGAATTACCAGTGGTATCGGAAACATTAACTGAAAAACGCAGAGGCTTTTTCTTATTTATTTATTTGAAACCACATTAAAACCCTGTTTGTAATGTCCTGGTGGAGTTAATACTCTATAGTCTCTTACTGTGTGTCTGCAGACAGTAAGTGATTTGGAGTGGTTCCCTTAGCAATTATCACACCATACAGCCAAGTGGCCTCAAGCAGAAGAAAAACTGAATGTACAGCCAGAAGTGGTTTTACTTTTAAGCCCAAGCCCTCTCAGGTGATCAAGGCAAATTCCATTCCTAACATCTTATTTGTTCCAACTTTCTGTCTCCTGAGATCACATTTCCCACATTCAACCCAAGATGCTGTCAAGATGGGGAGGTTCAATGTAAGCCTGAAGAATCATGTGTGTGTGAACCAGAAAGGTGGAGAAGCCTCTCCCACAGCACTTGCAGTAGAGAGTATAAACTCTTCTTTTTACCTGTGTTGGCTAGAATGGAAATGTGGTCTGGCGAAAAAGGGTGGAGGGCTCAAAGAGAACAACCTGGAAGCCTTTGTGGACTTCTTATAGCTGAATGTAAGCATGCAGACTGTAACTACTATGAATGATGTAATGGTTCCCAAAGAGGGCTCTTCACTGGGGGTGTTAGCTGGTGGGGGTGACTACAGGGTGTGGAGGTGGAAAAGTCTGTTGTCTTGATTGAAAAAAAATGAGCAAAGCCCTATATGTATCTCTCTCTACAGGATCTGGATTTAGGAATGGAGTAGGACTTTGAAATTTAGGAGGTTTTAGAAATGCCTTCTGTTAGCAGATGCTGCAATTATGTAGGCTACGAAGGTGAACAAATGTCTGTTCTGGTGGTTCTCTGGGTATGTAAGTAGAACTTAATGCTCACCTTGTGCTCCTTAAAAAGTAGGGGTGAGCCTAGCTGTCCAGGTTACCTGTAATCCTCTTGCACCAGAGCTATGCAACAGAAATCTGTTAGGGCTGAGATCTGTGTTAACCTGAAAGGTTGGTGGACCCCATCTTCACCACCAGCAGCTTGCAAAGAGGTAACTTGCATTCCCCACTGGAGAGCAGCCTGGCTGTGCAGGGCTGGACCTCTCCTGGGCTGGGAGAAGACTGGCTGCTCTTTGTCTGGAGGTCGTTCATGCAAACGGCCCCATTACAGGTTTTCAGGGCTTTTTGAGTTTCTCAGGAGCAACTTTAACTGCTCTGCCTCAGACTCCATTAGGGAAATGTGATGGTAGTGGTGGGGGAATTTAAAACTGCATGGGCTGCCATGCGAGTTTAAAGTTGCATTTTTATAACACAGTGTTATCTTTAGGGCATAAAGATAGGATGCACACAAATGTGGGTATAGTTGTAATTCTTGCTGATCTTGTGGCAGGGTTTGTGGCACAAGGGTTGGGCCCTGGTCCCTGAGGACTGAGGCAGTGGGCAGTTTCCTTTGTTTCTTCAAGAGAATCCAAAGCATGCAGCCCTACCTTCCTGGGGTTTGACTTTGAGCAGAAGCAGACTGCTGTTTCAGGGACGTCAGAGGTCCCCCGTTCATGTAATATTTCTGATTGCTTTGAAAATGGCTAATCTATCACTGAGTTCTTCTCTGACAGAGATGCTATTTAGTATGAACCCGGTGCTAGATCTATTGAAGTGTGCTCATGTCTTCCAATAGTATTACAGGGGGAAATGTATTCACCCCGTGATTTACATGAGTTCAGCTGTCTTGTGTGCAAGCTTTTTCTTTTATAAAGTTTTTATTACCATAATGTTAGGATAAAATACTGGAGGGGGAGAAGAGTGCAGCCAGCATCCTTGGAGAAGGTAATTCTGGCTCTTTAATCGTGTAGGTGTTAAGAAACTCTGTTATAGAAGAGGCTAGTCCCATGCCCCTTGAGTTAGAAACCTCATAAAGAGCTTTTCTTTTTCTCCACTTTGGACGGAAGCGTTTCTTGGTGATAACGTGGAATAATTTCTAAGCACTAGGAGTAACTGAGCAGCATATCCCCTCCCCCTCCTCCATCCTATACTCTGATCTGTTAAGTGTGGACTCGAAAGATACTTACAACGTCCTTTGTAGCAGCATTAGCATTTGCATATTGAGCTAATGGGTGCACTGAGAACATCTAAGACCGCGCTGAGTGCCACTAGCACCTTGTGCTAAGCAAAAAGGAAAGGGAAAGACCTTTCATCTCTGCTTGATGGAGGAGATCTTGGTTTAATGAGCTGTTTATGTTAATAAGATTAGTGCAAGTGCACTCCAGCACTTGGCTAAGGACTGACTTCTGTTTTGGTTCTCTTTATTTCTGTTGTCTTTTTCCTTTTTCTCTTTTCTAAAGGTGACAAGGGCCTGTATTTGAAAACTGATAGGTCTCCCTGGCTATACCAAATCACTGATTGATTCAGTTTTGAATGCTTTGGGTATGGGAAGATGCTAAAGGTAGTAATTGTTGTAGGGGAGTTTTATTTAAACTGGCAAATGAGATAAAGGGCACTTGCCTGTTAACTAGTTAATTCACTCAACTAACCTGATCTGGTCTAAGCAGAAAGGGAGGTTTTTTGGTTTTGTGGAAACTGGAAATTCTCTCTTCATAGGGAAAATGCGCCATTTTGAGCAGCCAATCTCTGTGATTTTGGTGATGCCCTAAGGCTGTTGTTAGCCTGGAAACCCGCTCCCCAGGAGTCTAGTGGTTCTTGTTAGGCTTTAGCTGCTGCTTGGTTCTTGCCTTGGAGGGCTCAGACAGGTATTTTACATCCCTGACTCCAGAGCTCAGCCCGCCGAAGCCTGGTGAATTATGCTGGCTATGCATGTGGCTTGGGGGCAAGGAGTTGGTTGTGTTATTCATAGGCGCTCCCTTCCACCTCGCCAAAGAGCAAACTGGGTACTTGTCTACAAAGGCAATTATTTCACAAGAAAGTTGCTGTAGGGAGCAGCAGGAGCCAACATGGTTAATAGAAAAGATTTCCCTTATCTCTTTTTTTTTTTTTCCTCCCAGTGTGTACGTCCCTCACAAACCATTTTTTTCAGCCTGATCTTGCCTCTGAAATAGGTCTGCTGCTTCTTGCTAGGCTAGACTTGCCCCTAGTGAAGTGTTACCTGCATCGGGTTATTGCAGGCCGCTACAGCTGGGGAGGAACTGGCAGCTTGTCTGGGCGAACATCAGCCCTGGGCTTCCCACAGCAGGCCAAGCAGCGGGGAAGGGGATGAGGTCATGGGAGTGTCCTAATGCGGAGTCTAAGGACTTAAAAGAGGGCTCCTGAAATTGCTCCGATGTGGGAGTGCTGAGGGTCCCTTGCAGGCTGTTTTGGCATGGTGCTGCGTGCTGCCCCTGGGGTCTTCCAGGCATTGGCAGGGTGCATGCACAGGAATAGGAGACTTCACGGTGTTAAGGTTGGATGTGGCATTTTTCTTTTTAAAAATGCAGAGTGCTTCTAGCTGGCCCTGAATTTAAAAGAAAAAAAAAATTAAAAAGTTTGGTTTTGCTGATAACTCTGCCATGGCTGAGGCTCCCACAGTGGTAACTCACATCACTTGTTACTGGCACAGGCACAAAATGTGACTGGGTCAGGATCAGGCCCCAGGTGTTTCCCAGCTCCTGGAGACTGGCAGAGGAGGTTGGTGACAGACCTTTCTGCCTTGCAGAGGATATGAGCATCTTTCTTCTGGTTGTCGCAGTCACTGTGAATGTGCTCACTGAGCTTTATATTTTTTAACCCTGACATCTTTCAGGAGAGCTGGTCATCTCAAAATGCCTGCATGGGGCAGGGTGGAGTCCAAGCAATGTGTTTTGGTCTTTTTTTTTTCCTTTTAAAACAGGACTTTCTGTTTACCAGGCATCTCTGTTAAAACTTTGTCCTACTACTTCAGGTATTATTCTCCATTAAATAGTGTACACACTTTGGCTACGTCACGAGCTGTCGCGTAATGCGAGAGGGCCTGTTCAGGAAATATTATCTTTATGGCCTCCCTGTGTCCTCTTTTGTGGATTGATATGTGGCAGTAACAATGATGCATAGGTACCTGTGGCCCAGAGTTGCTCTGGGTACTGCCCATTGTCACTAATAATGTAGTTTTTGACAGACTGAAGGTTCTTTCGCCCATCATGTACGGCTCCTCTTTGTGAGTGCAGTCAGCCTGGGGAGAGGACCCCTTGTTTCCTTCTTCCAGCCTGACACCCAGTGTCCTCGTGGGCTGTTGCAGCCCGAAGGCCATACATGAAGGTGCAGAAGGAGGGCATGGCAATGAAAGGTCTTGACCTAGGAGGCTGCAGCTTGAACTGAGTAATACTTTGTGCTCTGCAGGGTCAGGCTAAAGTGACCTGTAAACAATCCAGGGGTGCTCATTATGTGTGCTAGGACTGGGCCTGTTACATCACCAAAAATGTTGTGCTGGGAATTTTTGGCATCCGCTGGAACTGATTGAGCACAGTATTGGAGTTGTCCAGTCTGGCTTTTGAGGATGAGGAGGCTTTTTCCGTATCCTCGTAACTACAACAGGCAGCTTTCTTCCCTGAATGGTGGGTCCCCGGGATTCCTTTCCAAAGTCTGGGTCTGTGCACGGGCAGCCTGCACCAGCAGGGCAGCTGAAGCAATGCAGTCCGTGCTCTCTCGTGATGAACACAGTCCTATGACTCAGGAAAACTTAATGACTAGCCCAAGGAGTTACAGTGGTGGTAAATCGGGGCACTACAGGTATTGTCCTCGTTCTTAACAGCACAGCATAAACATCAAAGTGGGGAGATGGGCTTTGCGCTAGAGATGTTTGCACTGTGTACAACTCGCCTGTGGTTCAGAACAT